ATCACTTTGAACGATGTTTTTGAGTGTAGCTGCCCAAACTTTTTAGTGGTTAGAGTAGCCTGACTGCGATATCAGAGTGTCCGGGTTCGAATCCCGGAGAAGGCATGGATGTAAAATTTACTGTCCCTTCATAGGAGGTAGCGGTGCTGCCTATTAGGTGCCTCCACAATAAAATGGCCACCACAATCTGGCCTTAGGAGTGGTCAATGCCGTTACAGGCAAATATCCGCCATTGGGGGGGGAGAGACAAATGTTTTTGCATGACATATGTATGTACGAACAGATAAAGGGACTATTTTTTTCAAAACGGATTGTAAAATGGTTTTAAAATGGATTCAGAAGAGATTTTACTTCGTGACGTCTGTACGTACGTATGTATATATCTCGCATAACTTCAAAAACGAGCAACTTCAGCCTACGTTCCATACCTCTGAAAATATTCAGTATTTCTAGAAACATAAATAAGCATCGGTATTGGACACGATTCTCTAGGACGACCACCTTCATAGCAGACCCAGAATCGTCTGGAACTGTGGGTAGTTGTCTTAGAATGGCCCCATTATATTTTCACTTTGCGTTTTCCGAAGCAAGGCATATTTATTGAGAGAATTTTTGTAGTTTTCATAACAGGCATTGCTGCTTTAAGTTCTTATTACTGTAGCTGTATTTAATTTTAGAAAAGAAAATACCACAATGTAGCATTTTCAGAAACCATCTAAAACTTTTATTTATTTATTTTTTACAATTTATTATAGACCTTGATATATTCATGTATTTTATATATTGACGAGAAAAATTTTATAGATCATAGTAAAAATTTAAATAAATAAATTATTTGGCCTTTGGCCAATTTTTATTTTAACTGATGTATTTTTTATTTTACTTAAAATAATAAGTATTTTATGAGCTTCACATTCTTTCTGCGAAACCTCATGCAGAAAGAATGAGGAAATGGACTTTTAACATATTCAATCAGTCAGTAGTGCTGCAACGTTTGTCAGAGGTGTGGGATGCTCCTGAACTGTGTGCGATGTGAAGCATCGATTTTCATTTCATTATTTATTTTTACGACTGTTTTAATTATTTATTGTCATGTTTCTGAGAAGAAAAATAAATACAAAGCTGTTGAAGAAACCTTTTCCTTTCTCCGCATGATTTAATATCTGATTCAATGAATAATTCTCTCTTTTTCAAAATGATTTTCAAAGTAATAGATTCACGTCAAAATTCTAATTTTCAATTATTTGAGAACGAATTTTCTTTTTCTTTTCTGCTGCATTAGAATTTATTATATTTAGTATTCAACTAAACTAACGGCCTGTATGCTTTACAGTACGGGAACTGGTAAAGAATGAAAACATTTATGGCCCTTAGTTGAGGGGGGGGAAGCTGATTTTACTTTAATGACTTAACTTTACGCAGTATTGTTTTGAAATAAATTTCTTTTCATATCGACGTATAAGCAACGATATTTGTTCAACAGAGACTGAATTAAAGACACTTGTAAGGTATATTTTAATTTTATAACAGTTATTTTAATTTTAAAGCGCTTTTCTGTCAATTTTTTTTCCACTTACAACTTTTTACCAGAATGAGTTTATAGAATTGAATACAAATGAGTAAAAAGTAGTATTTAAGGAAGGTTCAACTTACTTCCAAATGGAGAGCTAGGAATCCTGAGTAGAGCGTGTTTGCGGAGTCCCGGCAAGAGCATTGCTCATGTTTCACGTCTCCAGCATGAAAATAACCTAGTAAATCTACATTGGCGCCCGAACCAAAAAAAGGTGGTGGATGATGATGATTCTTCACCACTAGGATTTGGCGACTGCGTCTCCTAATCTCCAGTCGCTCTTTAAAAAGGAAAGTACATTTTCTTCCTCCTTTTTGCATGCCTTCATGGTGTAACGGTGTAACAAGTCCCGGCGAGGCCATTGCTCATTTTTCATATTTAGGCTGTTATGCTTGGCCGTAAACTAACTGGCCAATATCAATTCGCCGGCTAGTTTAAATTAAGGGCCAACTACGTTAGATTTGTGTTAGCTTCGGCTAAGTCTCTTTTAGTTAGTTCTAATTTTAGTTCTTATTTCTTATTCTGAGTTTAAACCCAAGTGCGGGCTTTGTTGTAAGCCCGAGATTTGTTGTAAGGGGCCAACTGTTCATCTTATTTTGAGCCAAGAGATTCTTTTTCTTCAAGCATTAAAAGTATTTTTTCTTGAGTCTTTTCTTACTCTCCAATGATTCTAATCTTCAACTAATAATATAAGTTTTCCTTAACAATTTATAAAAGCCTCCTTTTATGAGATTTTATTCCTCAATTTTGCTAGATAAATGCCATTACGATATTTGGATTTATTTTAATTGTTTATCTAGCATATTTAGTTATTTATATGACTCATTTCCGGCCGCTTACAGCTCAGAATATTTTGATGTAGATTTAATGTAAAAATATAAAGTTCGTTTTTACCTAATTTTAAGTTTGGCATCAACGTTTGCATTACCCTTAATTAGAATTCTTTATTACGAAAATGTTTTTCTGTGGCCCCTTTTTCCTTTTTTCAGTTGAAGCAATTTTTTAAGGGGAAAAGAAAAAGTATTTTCATTTAATAACGTAGTTGAGGAATACGTTTCTTAGAGATGGTTCAATATATTTGAGATATGAGCTGAAAATTCTCTTCAGTATTAATAAATCTTAATTTTTATATTAAAACACTCTTTGCTAGCACATTTTTCTTTATAGCGGAAAATTAATTTAAAGTTGCTTTATTTAAAAAGCATAGAGGCAGACCCAGAAGAAACACATCAGGTAGTTTTCATAACGTCACAAAAGTTAATTAGTTTTGATTAATTAAAGATATTCATATAATTCCCTTAATTTTATTGAGAAAAAGGAAAACAAAATTCTGTTAAAAAGTATTCTTAATTACCATTTCATGGATAATGTTTTTTTAAACAGCCATTTTCATGTGACTTATTTAATCTTTAAATTAACATTTTCTAATAAGAAAATTGAATGTAGGGCTATAACAAAAATTTAAGCTTATTGCTTGTACGCTGAGCAAAAATCAAAAACTTTTCATGTATCGACCTCTAATGTAACTGAATTTTTCCTAATCATGGTAACAGCAAAAGGAAATGAATACCGAAAAAGAGAAACATATTTAAAGTTTAGAACGCAGTATGAAAGGAAGTTTTTCAGGAAATGGTCGAGACAGCGTTAAAAATAACAATTCAGGAAATACTTAAGGCAAATTAAAAAATAACTTATCTTGGCATACCCGTTAAGCCTAAGCTTTATGATAGTTTTCTGTGTAGAAGCGATATCCTTTTTAATTGAATGTATGTTTTTTTTTACTGTCAAGTTTATAAGGTATTTTCGCCCTCCTTTCTGCATGCTGATGTAACTGTTAGCCCACTCCAGCATCAAAATAACCTAATAAATCTACATTGCCGCCCGAACCAAAATAGGTCGTGGATGATGATTCTTCACCACTAGGATTTGGCGACTGGGTCCCCCAATCTCCAGTTGCTCTTTAAAAGGGGGAGTACATTTTCTCCCTCCTTTTTGCATGCTTTCATGGTGTAACGGTTAGCACACTCGGCGCGTATTCGAGAGATCCAGGTTCGAGTCCCGGCGAGGCCATTGCTCATTTTTCATGTTTTCCTGCTTCAAAATAACCTAACATCTCTACAAGTTTACCACTCAGTGCGATTGAGGTTATAAGGTCTTTCTCCCACTTTCCTAGTGTGCCTTTGTGGTGTAGTGGTTCTGCACGCTGGGTCGGTATTCCAGAGCTCCGTGGTTCGATTCCCGGCGAAGACGTTACTAATTTTTCAATCTGTCTTGCTTCCAAATAAATCATAATGTCTCTACAGTGGCGCCCGAACTAAAAAGGGTCGTGGATGATGAATCTCCACACCCGGTATTTGGCGATTAGGTCCCCTAAAAACCCCAGTCTTCCTTTAAAAAGGGGAGTATATAAGGTATTTCTCCCACTTTCCCAGCGTGCCTTCGTGGTGTAGTGGTTCTGCACGCTGGGCCGGTGTTCCAGAGGTCCGTGGTTCGATTCCCGGCGAAGGCAGGTGCTAATTTTTCAATCTGTCTTCCTTCCAAATAAGCCCTAATGTCTCTACAAGGTTAAAAAAAATAAATAAAATAAAAGATGCGTTATTTTTATGCTTAAAAATATTCATGTTTGGTCATTATATTTTGTATTTAATCAATGAGCTTAAATTAAAAAAAAAAGTAATTTCTCTCATAAGCGGTAGTAGCTATCCATAGATGATCCCCTTTGAAAATGATCAGTATTTCTGAAGACATAGACACATATTGGTACTGAACATCAATTCGTTAAAAAGACCACCTACACAGAAGGCCAAAGCCATTTAGAACCAACCGTCTGAGAGGGCATTCCCAATATTTAAAATTCATTTTAGTTTCACTTCGCACATTTATAATAGAAATATCTGATTTTTAAGAAATATTTATGATGTGTTACGTTGTGAAGCATTTAATAATTTAAAAATAATGGTAAAATTCAGATATTATTTTATACATTTAAAGTTTTCCTATGAAATGTTATCGATCTTTTCTAAAATTAATAAAAAATATTTCTTATGTCATATGAATCCACATGCAATAGGTACTTCAGCTGTAGAACTGTCCTGATTTAATGATCTTCCGTTCGTCGTTTAATAATGAATTCATAATTTAATATCAATTTTACGTAACTAAATATCTGACGAAAAGGAGTCCTGAAAGTACCTTTCAAACATCAAATTTCGTTAAAACAAAATTTGTTCAGCACGCTAACATTGAATAACGATAAACGATTACACTCATAGGAAAGAGCAGAAAGCACAATGGTTGCATTTCCTCGAATTTCGTCGGAAGGGAAAACCATCTTTTGAAATCCTTCCCCGTTTTCAGTGACTTTCACTGGGGAAAACGCAATTTTCCTTTGTATTCAGAGTGATATAAATACAACCTTCAATATGATCAAGACAGTACTCAGCGATTACCAATTCAGGAACAGTTGCAGTGAAAAAGATCTTTTCTTAAAACGTAATTACGATGAATTACTACTTCGTGATCACTATTTGCATAACTTTGTTTTTGCAGTTTATTGCAGGTAATATATATTTTCTTAAATTTTGAAAAATTAGCTAATTCAAATTTATTTCTTTTAAAATTTAAGGCTTTGAGAAGATATATCACTTAAAATCTTGATTAGTTTCACAAGTATTAGTGTATTATATCACAAGTATCAGTGTATCAAAATACTGTGTTAGTTGATGAGATTTTAAGAACGGAAATTTGATGCTGTAGGACGGATGTTTTCGTTGATGAGAATTTTAAGAACGGATGTTTGATGCTATAGGACGGATGCTTTCGTTGATGAGATTTTAAGAACGGATGTTTGATGCTGTAGGACGGATGTTTTCGTTGATGAGATTTTAAGAGCGGATGTTTGATGCCCGTAGGACGGATGTTTTCGTTGATGAGATTTAAAGCAGCTTCTGTTCGCTTAATACGAGAAGGGCAGGTTTACTTACCAGCTGAGTTGCTGTACCGTCTGTTATATGACAAACAGAATTTGTACTCAATTGGTTGAGCATTCTATTGTCGCTAGAAGTCTCTATGGAATATTAAATTTTGTAGCAGAATTTATAAAGTTACATAGGAAGATGGGTATTTGTGACCTGTGGTTATTAAAGAGACTCTGTCGAGACTTTGACTGTGCCGAATGAGGAATTTAGCAATGTTTTATGCATTGCGATTCCAAGTTTACAGTAGTTTACACTAGAATTCAGTGGGAACTTGGATATAAGAAGTTATTCAAATGCATTTATACTGAACATTATCAACTGGGTATATTAATGTACATCGTATGTGCTGTTCATGCATTTGCAGAGTTCCTATGTAATATTTGCTTGTCACATTCATAGCAATCATTTTTGTGACTATTACTACACACTTATTTACAGTTCGCTTACAATTCAATTATGAATAGTCTGCCTGATAACTGAAGGTGACGCTGAGAAATACAAATCAGGTGCGTAGAGTTGAAAATTTATGTGTTCATTGAAAAACATGTGCGGTTCGCTTACACACAGAGCACCATTTTATATCTGATTAGCATTTTATACCGTTACTGGCACAGAACACTTGAAGATGCGACTAGAAAATACTAAGTTCATTATTCACCACTCAGCCGCCGGATCTGTGGTGAGAGCTTTTTTCCTTTATTAATTCTAGATTGCTTTTGGATTTTCGTTTTGCAGTTCATTGCCAGTTAGTCTATGAGAGTTTTAAGTTTAGTAGTAGCTTACTCTTTTGGAGTTGTTTCAGCCATACTTGGGCATTTTCAGCTGCATACGGTCAGAAATATACGTAGGTCTTTGGTGATGGATTACTGAAATTAACCTCTTCCTAACCTAATTTAGGCAGGACTACTGAAATTAACCTCTTCAGTCTAAGGAAAACCAATTCGGGACAACCGTAAAATGTTTTGTGCTCTTATCCTTTCGTCCACTGGTAGGCCAGTTTAGAGTAAATAAATCGAATGAAGAAGAAATGAAAGATTGCAATTATTGAACGCCATATATTTATTTTAAAGACTTGCATGAAATGAAGTAGTTTATGATTTATTTAGGAGCTGAAATTGATTAATATTAACAAATTAAATTTAACAGTAGTAAAATGTTAATTTTACTTAAAATATTATTGCAGGTTTTACTGTCAAATATTAATATTGTTACGGATGTGGTATTTAAATAGCTAATGTTAGTTGAATTATAAATTAAATTGTTTTATTCGCGTGACGAATATTAGGAGAAAGCTAAGCCGGAAAATTAAAAATACAAGAGCACGTGCATTTAACATTTAATAAATATCTCTTTTTGATTTCGAGAAAATATCAGAAAATTTTCGCGCATTTAAAAAGCTTATATAAGCGGCATGAAAAACCACTCAATTCGTTAGCTAGTTGGTTGTTGTTTTAAGAGTTTGTTTAGAAAGCTGCTCTTGTTGACTGTAGCGAATTCGCGGATTAGCTTTCTCTAGCTGTTTTGAATTAACCACTTGCGCTAAAAAGACGTGCCAGCACGTCGAGATGCTTTTGTCTCAAACCGCGAGCGACGTGAACACCACGTCGATAGGCATTTATCGCAAAAGAAAATAATGTGGTGCACACGTCGCCTAACAACGAGATTGTTTATTTCTCGAGTTACAGCTCTGGATTGCACTCGCAGACGCGGAGCAGCGTAAATGAGACGCTTTACCGCTTGTTATATTGTAGCGCACGGCACCGCAACCGTGAAGTTTAATCGTAGCGCAAGTGGTTAAATTTTGTTGAACGTTTGAGTAGTTAAAAGATAACTACTGTGAGATATTGTAATACTGTACGAATATCTGAGGAAATTGAAGCATTTTGTTTTATTTGTTGTGATAATAAATTTTGTTTATTTTTCATCGGACGTGTGCATTCAATTCCTGACGAACCGGTACGCGCGCTACAATATTATGTCATTGGAAGAAGAATAACATTGTGACATCTTAAAATAGGGAATAAAATATATTAAAAATGCTCTTCAAAATAAACTAAAAATTAGATTGAACTGTCAGTTTGGAATACACTTTTGTATAGCAGCCACGCATTTATAATCGCAAGGTCTAGTAAGTGGTAAAAATGTCTGATATACCACATTACTGATCCCAGATTTATTTTGTATCTTTCCATGTGGTTATTCAGCAAATCTACGCCTACATATGTTTGTTGTATCGTTTAACAACATTTGGGAAGTCTGCAGTAACTGTCTCTTTTTTCTTCCTATCGAATCTAGATATCTGTTCAATGGGGTGTTTCCCAGAATACGTAGACAACAGGAGCCATATTGTCTTTCCACACTAAATTACATATTTCAATTCTATCACAGTCTGCAACATATTCAATGCTTGTTCTCTTCGACTCTTTCTTTAGTCGCTCATCTGCAGGGAGCTTACGACCAGGAATTATGTTTCTAAGCACAGTTCTCAAACAAAGAATGCCCCCTCATCAGCTAAACTGAAGTGTAAAAGTTGTTGAAATACAATTTGAAATTTTGATTTCGAGGAAACTCTGTACAAAGTTTAATCACAACATTTTCACTGGCGTCCAGTTCTGCCTTCATTTACTGAGCGGTTGTGAGGTAGATTTTCTTGCCATGAATATACCTCGAAGTTACGAGCAAATCCACTGAGTCCACATAAAAATGGTTTGAAAACAATGACCCTCTAAATGAGCATTAATAAACAAAATCAAAGAATTTTCAATACATACTACATAATAAGAGACATAAAATTCATATTTTATGACTCTGAATAACAACAATGCGTGCAAATATCGAGCGGGTATTGCTGATATAAAAACAAACATGAAATAAAAGGTATTATGAAGTAATTAAAAATCCACTTTAAATTTTAACCCGATTCATATATATATCAAGCTTCACTCTAGAGTGAAGCCTAATAATATATATCAAGCTCCATAGTAATGCATATATGAATCAAACAGAAAAATTGAAACATTTCAATTTAAAACAATTCTCTGGTTAAATATTACAGATATATAGAGTAAAATTTTTAATATCGAATTTATAAATAATGTGTAACTCTAATATAGAATTTATAAATAACAAAAAGCTAGCTTGACAACTGAACAGAAATGTATTCTGTGTTCTTGGCACTCATGAAATAAAGAGTGCACTTTTATGCTGCCATCTACTAGGGAAAAGAAAAGCTAAACATTGATATGGATATATTAAGATAAAAATCAGCTCAGTAAACCGTCTGCCTTGTATCTTTTTCAATGCTAAATTCAGTAAAAATTGGTATGATTCATATAGGGTCTAGAACATTTCGCTGTCGCTATTTCACCGTGGCCGTTTCGCCGTTAAGACATATTTTTCTTTACATGACTACTTTAGCTTGCCGTATTATACTCGTATTAAATTTATTTACGAGTTTAATAATTCTGTTTACCTTTTGTATACTTAATAAAGGTTGCTTTTAATATATACACTGACTACCAATAAGTATTTGGACACCTATGCAAATGACGATATCTGCGGTCCTAAGGTACGTCACGGTCTCCGCCGATATATGTCGTGTAGGAAACAGCATCGGCTTTAGTCGCATGCAAGATGCCTCGCAGTTCGGAGCTTTCTGATTTCGAGAAAGGGATAATTATCGGGTATTACAAATGTGGCCGATCCTTAAGGGACATATCTAGCGATCTGAAGTACCCAAAATCGACAGTGGCCTATGTGATTAAGAAGTGGAAGGTGAGCGGTGATTGTCGGAATGTGCCCCGAGTCGGCAGACCAACGAAACTGGGAGATAGAGACCGACGAGTGCTGTCCAGAGAAATTCGGAAGAACCGCACCCAACTGATGGCCCTCATCCGCGAGGAGCTTCAACAGGCATCCGGGAGTATTGTTTCAATGAATACCATCCGTAAGGAAGCACATCTGCTCGGTTTTCATGGTCGCGCTGCTGCCCATAAGCCTTTGATCACAAAGTCCAACCGCGTTGCTCGGTTAATGTGGTGCAAAGCACATCGAAATTGGACCGTAGAGATCAGGGGAAACGGGTTCTTTGGAGTGACGAATCAAGGTTTACCCTTTACCGTTTGGATGGCAGGGTCTGGGTCTGGCGTCTACCTGGAGAACGTCTCCTGCCAGAATGCATTGTGCCAACAGTCAAGTTCGGCGGAGGTGGAATTATGGTCTGGGGGTGTTTCTCCTGGTATGGGCTGGGACCCTTGGTCCCCATTCATGGTAAGCTCAACTCCGATGCCTACTGCACTATTTTGGATGACAATGTGCTTCCTACGTTGTGGCAGTTTTACGGGTTGGACCCCTGTTACTTTCAGGACGACAATGCCAGTTGTCATGTTTCGACGTTAACCAAGGCTTGGTATGGTGCCAATGGAGTTCATCGAATGGACTGGCCTGCCCAGAGTCCAGACCTGAACCCTATCGAGAACCTCTGAGACGAGTTGCATCGCCGAATTCAGGGGTGCACTACCCGTGCAAAATCGGTGAATGAACTTCTATGTCTTCTCCAAGCCGAGTGGATGAAAATACTGTCATACAAAGACTTGTGGAAAGTATGCCCCGGAGGGTCCACGCTGTAATTACCTCTCGTGGAGGCTCTACCAACTGTTGATTTTGAATAAAGTTAGTTTTTCTTTTCTACCACAGGTGTCCAAATACTTATTGGTAGTCAGTGTATAATAGTTATTTACAAGTATGAGATATAAAGAAATTACAAATAGTTAGTTGGAAAATATGTCAGTATCAAAGAGAACTGGGGCTAAACTTCTGTTATAACCAGAAGTTATATTACCGATTTTAAAATTATGCGGGTACAATGTTTACACGATTTGTCAAAATTTCTTGAAAATTTCATCGGCTAGTTCAGAGAAATCACTCATACAAGCAGGAAATTAACATTTTTTATGAAATCTGAATGGAAAACGGAATTACTTTGGAATCTTGTCAGCATCTTGCTCTCTTTAAAATTAATATGTCATGTGTAACGGTGTATTTGTATAAAACTGTACACAACATTTTATATATTATTTTAGATAAAATGTTTATTAAATTATTAAACTAAACAGTTATTAATTTAAATCAATATAATACGGCAAGATATAATACAGTCTTGTAAAGAAAAATATGTCTTGACGGCGAAACGGTCACGGCGAAATCCCCGTGGCGAATAGTCTCATTCCCTTCATATATGCATCACCACGCAGTGAACGGTTAATAATCTTTGAGTTGAGATTTCCCTTAGGGAAAGACGATTGTAAACTGTGGTGCCGAATGTGGTGGATAAGACAGGGAATGTGAAAACTATGAGACTTTTCTTTTCTAGAAACTGCTTCAAGAGAATAAAATTGTGTGACAGCACATGGTCGTTCAGCAGAATTCGGTTATTTGATAGAGCTTTTCCATGCCTAATGCACTAAATATTTTCAGAAATCTCCACATTATGCCTTTATAAAATATAGAGTCTACAGTCTATAAGGTATTTCTCCCGCCTTCTTGGCATGCCTTCGTGGTGTGGTGGTCTGCACGCTGGGCGCTATTCCAGAGGTCTGCGGTTCGATTACCGGCGAAAGCGTTGCTAATTTTTCACCTTTCCTACTTCCACAAAATACCTAATGTCTCTACAAGTCTACCTCTTTGGAACAAATTCTTTGTAAACTATATCTTTCCAAAGACAAAAAAATTCTCTCCGACGTGATCTTTATTCAAGACTTTTGTCATTGAAGTTTCTGTGGCCCTGGTGAGCCTTCACGTGAGGAATAAAGGAGCTTTTGAAGAATTTTAAGTTATATTTGACCGTTCTAAGGAAGTTACAATAGTTATAATAGTTTTGTTTTTAATAAAGGATAAGAGGGAGCTCAAATATTGAACTAAATTTGTAGTTGGAATTAACTGTTAGAGATGTAAGTGGCACAGAATGAGAAATCGGGTGATATTCCAAGTACGGTCAGGGAATGCAAGAGTTGTTTTGACCCGAAGCTGTCAAGGGAAATAATGGCTATGAATTAAAAATGAATAAGCTGCGTATTCAAAGAAGTAATTTGTGGATTATTCGACACCCTGCCGATTTTGTTTGGTTGCAGCCTACGTCTCAAATCCGTAATTATGTAATTAAAAAAACCCATAAGCTACCGTTCTGCGTATTTTTTATTATATGTAAAAATCATTTTAAAATATTTTACTTATGTAATCATCTTTATTAAATGCTAGAGTAAAAATGTAAAATAAATCTAATTAATATATTTAACCTCAGTTTTTTTTAATCATGCTTTTAGGCATGAAATTCTCCTTTATTTATTATAATACTTTAAAAATTAATCGAACTTACCAAAGGTTTTAAAGCATTAATTAGGAGACAATTGTAAAAGGCCAACCCCTTATTGTCTGTTTTCAGCACCAAATAGTTTTCTGCTTGCAAATATTCCTTCGTTTTTTTAATCTATTAATTTACGTGAAAAATAAGAAAAACTGCACAAAAAAGTAACAGAATATAACGAAATTTTATGATTTTTACCTGCTTTCCACTATTGTAACAATTAAAACTCTAAAATTTAATTAGTTGATTAATGGGTTATTAAAATTAACAAATTTAAAATATACTGTCATAATGTACTTTTTATAATATAACTTATGGTATCATAAAGATGGGTAGATTTAGATCTTTGTGAGTTTTTACTTAACCCTAATAATTTAAGAGTATTTATGTTTTTATTTATTTATTTCAGTATTATGCAATGAAAAGCCACCAGAGCCCAAAGTAGGAGAGGTAAGGCCTTTTTCATATTTTTCCTTTGAATTTTAACATGTTTTACACAGTTATTATTTTTATGATATAATTCACCATAAATGTAATGATTGACACAATTTGACATGCGTTACACAATTATTAAATTTTCTGTTCCGTAGGTATTCCCGAAATAATATATTGTTACGAAATGTACAGGCGCGGTAAGATGGCTTCGCCGCAAAGCAGTTTTAGGGTTACCATAAAGTGGCAAGGGAAGGCAGGGTTGCCAAATTTGGCGAGAAATCGCCCATTTGGCGACAAAATTAGCGATATGCCATGGACAGATGGAGAACCTTCTGGAACGAATTCTTACCGGTTTAGCCCAGAATGTTCTCGAACACAAGCCAAAAACTACCTAAAGCCTGCTGCGAGTTGGTGTCTCGTCTAGCGAGTCAATCCCTGCGGAGTCGATCCGAGTTGACAGCCGGGCAGCGAGTGCCGAGTGGGTCTTCGAGTAGAGTCGGGAGCTGTACTCTGGTGCTTTGCAGTGAAGCTGTCTCCACCGTGATACCCTGATAACCTGGAGGCTGTGTCGATGATCGTGTCAGCTTGTTCATAGTAGTTCATCGACGACTGTAAAAGTGTTTTGGAGCTGTCTTGATTAGTACTGGTTAAATAAAGTGTGTTTCGATACTTCATCAAGTGTCGTCGTTATTCACTCCAAATCCACACGAACCCCGTACGAACGTGAAGGAAGGGAAAAAAAACGTAACAGCTGTTGTCAGAAGAAGAAAAACGTAACAATATTAAATATTGACCTAGGAATTACACTGCTTTACTTCACTTTACGCCTAATAACGTTTTTTATACATTTTAGATAGGTTTAATTATTTATTGAATATTTAGTTTATATATTGTAGAATCATCAGGTTTTCCTTTTTTTGGGGGGGGAACAGAAGATGAGAACAATGAACAATGCCTTCGTCGGGACTCGAACCTGGACCTCTCGAATACGCATCAAGATACCTTATAATAAATACCTTGTGTAATTATATAAAATACCTTATAATACCTCATAAAATAAAATATCTTATAATATGCGGTTGCCTTATCTGGGATTTCCAGATAATTATATTGATTCCCAAGATATTGGGAATTGTTGAGTAATTTAAAATTACGAATGTATTTATTTGTGTACATTTAAGAAATAAACGTGCTTGTTTTCCAAGTTCAAAATGCTAGGTCTAATATGGAAATAAAAAGCTCTGTTCTTTATAGTCCTTGTAAAAAACTATTCTTTGTAGCTGCATCTGCGTCTACATCAATAAATTTTTATAAATTTTTCTTGTATCTTTATCATCAACTTATGATGATGATTATCAGAAGCAGTCATTTTAACCACACAATATCTCATATTAATTTACCTTGCATAATTTAAGCCAGCATATGGAAACCTACGACATAATATATTTCATATATTTTACACGTTCTTTTACATTTTTATAATGTTCTTTTTGAAACACTATCCGCAAAAGATTTTACAAAAGATTTACATCTATTACAAAAGATTTTTTATATTTAAATTTAGAATGGAATAGTAAATTTAAAATTGCCCTTCTGAAGGTTAGTTAAATTATATAAGATAGGTATTAAGCTGTTTTGTTGTTTGACTTCTAAATTAAGAGATATTAAGCTGTTATCTAACTATACTAAATGTAAAGGTAGAACTAGCAAAGTTAAATTGGAATTATCATTTTGAATTATTTCTACCAAATGTAAAGTACAAATGAACCTATGATTTTTTTTAAAGTACACAATTAAATTTTGTTTGTATTCAAATGGTAAATTTAAGTCTGTATTTAAAACCAATATTCATTTTTTAGCCTCAATTCAAATTAGATGCAGTAGGTGGTGGAAACAACTTGCGCAACTTTCAGACGGCATTTAATGCTGGAGTTGGAACGAAAGTGTGGGAAAGTAAGAAGAAAGATATGAGTCTGGAAGTTGGAGCAACTTATGGCCGTGGAATCGCACGTGTCGATGGGCATACATTTAAAAGCCCACCCCAATACGGTCTAGGCACTACTTTTAGATGGGGCAAGAAGCGATGAAACCGATACCTCGTCTGCAATGCGAAGCCATCGGATTTATTCTGCAATCTTTGATATTTGTAAAAATAATATTAATAAACGTTGTTTCTTTGTTTTTTTTTTAGAAAAGTAAAGTTTTTTTTACAACATTTCGTACGCAACAGATAGGATTTCGTACGCAACAGATTTCGTACGCAACCACTCTACGCTAGGTGACAGCAGAATCCGGATACCCGGGCGGCTTTTATAGACTGTTCGGGTATAGTTCGGACCCCACAAATGTCTAACGCAACACCTTCTCGGCGTCCCACGAGGACCGCATCGAGAGTTTATTGGAAAAAAAAAAAAAAAAAAATGGAAGTAGGATGATATGACCGTACAAGGCTAATGATTTACATTTGCCCTGTACAATGCAATTGATCATAAGTACAATTAGAAATACGCTTACATATTATGCTTGGTTTAAAATATACTGTTGCGTGCGTACTGATTCGTTATGAAATGACTGCACAAGTCCGATGAAAAATAAACAAAATTTATTATTATCACCACAAATAAAACAAATGCTTCAATTTCCTCAGTTATTCGTACAGTATTACAATATCTCACAGTAGTTATCTTTTAACTACTCAAACGTTCAAGAGAACTTAATTCAAAACAGCTAGAGAAAGCTAATTCGCGAATTCGCTACCGTCAATAAGAACAGTTTTCTAAACAAACTCTTAAAACAACAACTAACTGAATTGGATATTGCATTATATTTTTACTGCTGGCTTTAGCTACTAAGAGCTCTTACCAGTATATACCATAGGCCATAAACCATAGGCCATAGGCCATACCATAGGCCATAAAGTCAGTGGCGTAGCTAGGGTGGGGCAAGGGAGGACATCTGTCTTCGGGCGCAGCATTCAAGGGGCGCCAAATTGATGCTACGAAATTTTTTAATGAAAAGTTTTCCGTTCTTGGCACGCAGAAAAGGGCGCAAATTTTCAGTTGTCCCCGGGCGCTGGAAACTCTAGCTACGCTCTTGCAAAAAGTTAAAAATTTAAGAAGTTTCTTTAAAAATGCATCGAGCCCGAAGGCGAGATCAATAAATGAGAGAACTCATAAAATAAGTTTTGCTATATTGCATATCATGGCATATCGTGGGTGATTATATCAATGGCGAATGAAATGTGGAAATGAAAGTCTAAGCTTCTGGGTGAGTCTAGAAGAACAGAAACACGTGATCAGCGTCCGGCATTAGGATTGGTCGAGGAGTCAGAGTTCGAAAAATGAAGTTTTTTGTAGTTTTTGGAAATAAATAGAGTAACTAACTCAATTGAGAGGTTTTCCTCCTTTTTATAAGCTTTTTAAATCACGCGCGAGATTGTTCTAGCAATTTCTCGATATCAAAAAGAGATATTTATTTATTAAATGTTAAATGCACGTGCTCTGGTATTTTTAATTTTCCGGCTTAGCTTTCTTTTGATATTCGTCACACCCTGCACTGTACGGGGAACAAAATAATTTTATTTATAATTCTACTAACATTAACTATTTAATTACCAAATACGTAACAATACGTACATACGTTGGGCTCCTGACAATTAAACACCGAACATTTAACATAGACTTAACCAAAAAACATATTACGCTTCGTTCAACAAATACTTACATATACTGTGCACTTCGTAGTTGAACATTGAATATAAGCTCAACGGGAATTTATACACGTGACCGTAAAACCTACACATTAATTTAGAAGTCAAACAACGAAAATCAGACTTGTATTTCTAAATTTTTACAGGACTAGTTTCGATGGTTTTAGCGAACTACCAACCTCAGCTGCCTAAGTGCAAATGGTGTTTAATGTTTAAACGCACACTAAATATACACTTACATATTATACGCACTTACGTGTCGTACGTTGGTTACCTGCTGATAATATATATGTATATATATAAACGCTTGCGAAATAGCTTACAGTATCTTACATAGCAGTTTTTTACAGATACTTATAAATATTAATACACTATACTTTACAACATATTACATAGCAGGTATTTAGCAGTTACATACAGATATGCTTTTGCATATCGGCATCTGTGAGTTCTAATTTGGAATTTGTTTTATTATCGATTTCATATTTTGTAACACTAACGAGTTTTTGATTAAGAAACTCGACGATTTCAAAGTGAGGAATGGTAACACTGTAAGAAAAAGAAAAAAAAAAAAAAAAAACTATATTGCTGTTGAATTGAATTTTATGGTTTAAGTGCGAAGAACATGATATTTAGTAAATAAAGGTAACCAACAAAACGTTAATAAAACACCCCTTTGGGCGTAATATAAAATCTGAAAGCTTTCAGATTTTCGTTAGTCCAAAGAGGCAATTTGCCCAGAAGGATTAATTTCGTTTTGGCATTTTGCATCGATTCACGATAAGCGTTGTTTCACTTTTCAAATTGTTGCACCGAATATTATCGACCTGTATTATATTTAAAAAATTAAATAATGAAGAATCTGCAAGAATGCCTGTATGTTTGTCGCATTGTGATAAAACAACGGTCATCAAAATTTGAATAACGTGATTTTCCATAGAATATGGGCATGTGGGAGCCCTAATTTGAATTTGAAATTTGTTTTGTTATCGATTTTATATTTTATAATACTTCAACTAATTTTTGATTAACAAACTAAACAATTTCAAAGCGAGCAATCGCAACACTGAACAACAACAAAAAATTTAAAAAAAAAAAAAAAAAAAAAAAAAAAAAAAAAAAAAAATCTCCAGCGCGCGAGACTCTGTATTTGAAATTCTAAAGATAGGCTCATTTTAAAGTTATTTTGCGATATTGGTGTTGAACTGAATTTAATGGTTTAAGTGCGAAGAACGTGATTTTTAATAAATAAAGGTAACACACAAAATGTTAAAAAAACGCCGCTTTGGACGTAATTTAATAATTTAAAATCTGAAGCCTTTCAGATTTTTATTATTTATTTATTATTATTATGTTAAATAATTGATTTAATATTTGAAGTGCACTTTCGTTGTTACTTTTTAAAAAAATTATTACTTTTAGTACCTTTATGTCTTAAGTCTTACGTTACTAGAAGTAATTTAAAACTTGAAGGCTTAGGTGCGAGGCACGTTCAACAGGCTCGTAGGCTGGGAAAGCCACATGCTGTGTGTAGCGATGTGTGGAAGCGCATAACTTTCCTGACATATCATTGAATAGTTCTTAATTGAGAAAAAAATTTCTCGTGATAAGCGAGGATGAGCCTTGCGTATATACATGACGTCGAGCTAGTCACTTCATTAGCTGGAGATGTTGGGATGCAATAATGTGAATGCAATAATGTTAAAAAGTGCATATCTCAGTTGTCGCATGCTACTGTCACGGCTTCCCTGGTGCTCAAATGGAAGGAGGATGGGGTGGAAAGTAGGTCTTCGATGAGCAAATTTTTGCGAAGTTCTGTGAGTGAACTCGCTAATCATACTATAGAAATGATCTTATGAATACTTATAGAAATGATCTTATTTTAAAACTTGAAGCGAACAGCTCCGTTTCACGCCTAACATGCGCCGCTCGTTTCCAAGAAAATTACTTTCGTGTTTCAAAAGTTACTATGGCAACATCTACGAAAACAATGTAATTCGAGGTGCTCGTTCCGATATTTGAAGCTTTAAGATTAGTGCTTTCATACAAATCTCTTAGCTTAAAAGTAAATTATAAGCTCTTCTTTTAAATCTTCTGTATAGACAGACAAAGATCTCAATATGTATAGTTCTGGTATCGCAACAAAGCCCAAGCAACAGATGCCGGTGTGTTTTAATTATTGCTGCAAAGTGCCAACGCCTGGTATGTTCATAAATCCTCTGGATGACTACGACAAAATCCGACTTTTTAAAGGTTATGAGCCATACTGGAGGTGGTCGAAAGACCCAAAAGGTAAAATCGAATTTCAGATAGAGTGCATTCATTGGCCAAATTCAGAATATGACTATTATGCCGGAAGATTTTCTCGTGGATTAAATTTAGCGCAAAATCCAGATTACGGTAGGTCTGAAGATACAGTTTTGAATCTAGAAGGGCATGGCCCCAGGAACGTTTAAAGTATGCGCACATAAAAAAAAAGAAGCAAAGTCCTGTTCATGATTATTTGTAAAATTAAAATGCCTGCAATGAGCGTTTGATATTCAATTTTTGGATCAAAGCCTAATTTAAATTGCTAAACTTCGTAATATGAATACCGTATCGTAAAATAAATGCACTTTCTGTAATTTATCTCTTATTGGATTATTTGATAATTTATCAAAATGAATTTCAAATTGAAAGGAAATTGTTTTTCTTTTCAGAAGAGAATGTATTTCTTTATTATTTTTAATTACAAATGAGAAGCAAATTCAGTTATTCGTTAAAACTGACACTGCACACGTTTTTAACGACATGTGAAATTTGCATGTTACAGAATAAGGCGAGAGTTGATTATTTTCAGTTGCTAAGCGCAATAGCTGTTTTAACTACTCACACTGAGTGAAAGCAATTTTGCCATTACATCGATGTCAGATCCTATAAAAAAGATCAATACAGAGATCTAGTATCATCAACGTTTGTTCTGTTCTTTGAAATGATTTTAACATCTTCCTTTTAACATGCATTATCAGAACTGCAAGTTTTCCTCTCTAAGCTTTCCTTATTTCATGAATTTTCATTGATAATGATTTTTGATGGAAGCCCTCTTGTAAGAAAATTAATAATTTCACAATAAGTTCACTTCGCTTTCTTCATCTTTGGATTACAAAACGTTAGAAATGATGGTACTATTCCGTTTTGAGGACCGTAAAAAATTGCAGCGAAAATGTATGCGCAAAAGCGCCAAATCTAGCAAACCCGCTCATTTAACAGCGCGCCAAATCTAGCGTACGCGCTGATTTCATTGCGTAAGTTTATATAGTTCTACATTTCTTAAGACTCCATTGAAATACTACTTTAATTTTTAAATCCTTTTTTAATATCCTATGGATTTAACAATTTGGGAATTGCCCTTGACGAAAAGTCGACAATAAAATTTTGGGTAAAGTGCAGAATCACCCACTGTTTGACGCGTTTTTAAGAATTGCACATACTTGATATCCATGTGCACATCGACTGCTAGTTTGTTCACTGGTAAAAAAAAGTAAAAAAAAAAAAAAAAAAAAAAAAAATCCCTAGAATTGCACAAATATGGCACTGCGCACACCCTTGGCTTTATCTATGTACACATCGACCTATTTTCACTTAAAAAGTAAAAGAAAATTGACAAAAATCCAATTGTTTTTACCCTTGTAAAAAGCGACAAACAAATAAGTGAGCGATTCTGCACTTTACCGAGAATATTTTCAAAGAAAAGGCATCATTCATTATAGAAAATTACGCTTGAACAACCAACGAGATGAAATTAGGCTTTTTATTCCTTCTTATTTATTCTTACATATCGTGATTCTTACATATCGTGTGAAGGGAACCTTCGACAATAGTTAAAGATGTTTTTTGCACTGCGTTTTGTCGGTGTATCAGATAAGCAATATATTCATATCAAAACTTAAAACTAAAAGTTTGACAGGTAAAATAAATGATGTTATGATAAAATGTCGTATTTGTTATTTAATAAATTTATTTCAACATTTTCAGTGCAGTAACTATGTTAAGTGAATAGTGGTACAAGGTCTGTAAAATATAATTAAAAACTTCGTATTATGGACCTTTCTATTTATTGGAACAAAAATTATATTTTGTTTACAAACGATCAACTTGAAGTAACACTTCACTTAAAGCTCGTTGCTGTATAAAAAATGGAATCAGCAGGGGGTCATTTGTTGTCCACATCAGATTTTATTCCCTTCCTCGTACGAAGTAAATGAAGTATTGTAATCACCAAAAAATAGAAATATACATTTTGACCGTTCTCGAATCCATTTTGATTATTTTTGTGTGACATCTGTACCTACTGGCAGAATAAAGGATTCTTTATTCCAAGGCGAATTTTAAATGGATTTTTTTCGTGACGTCTGTACGTACGTACGTATCTCGCATAACGCAAAAGGTATTAGCCGTAGAACTTTGAAATTTTATATATGGGATTGCTTTAACATCTAGTTGTGCATCTCCCTTTTTTATTGCAATCTGCAGTACCAAACGTATATATGTAATAAGGTAAGGGGGTTGATATATATCCTTTTACCCTGCTTAAAAGTCCTTACTCGGTCTTTACTTTTGCAATCGTTGGTCGTAGTCATATGTTTTCAATTTATAGAAGTATTTTAAATGACAAAAATATTAATATTTCGGTATATCAAATTAAAAAACAATTTTGAACAAGTAACGAAATCTAACCTTTAAGACGTCTCCCAGTTCCTATACTTTTATTTCGAAAAGATTTTACTCGTTATGAAAGAATAAAATTAGAAGTTTGACTCCCTTACGACAAAAATCCGGAACATTTAATTTCAAAATTTGCAGTTTTTGATGTCATTTTCAACTTGCCTTGAAGAACCGGTTAATTAAATTACAATAATTCGGGGAAATAGCTTTGAATGAAGTGCAGTAAAAAATATATATAATTTAATAGGCTGTACAAGAAAGTCATATAGTGTCGACATCAAAATTTTCATTTTATATTCGTAGAGGCATTAGGTTATTTTGAAGTGTGAAAAATGAATAATGTCCTCGCCGGGACTCGAACCCGCACCTGTGGAATACGCGCCGAGTGTGCTACCGTTTCGCCACGAAGGCATGCAGAAAGGAGGGAGGAAATACTTTATATATTCATTAAAATTTGAATTATTATTATTCGTTAAAAGTATGAATAAAAGAGAAAATGTATGTATGAAACTAGAATTAACAGTAGGCTCTACAGAAATCTTTTTTATTTCTTTTTAAAAGGTTTGACAAAAAAAAAGTTAAACAAATATTAAAAGAAAATAGTAAAGTATATTTAGTGAAATTTAAAATAAAATATGAAACCAAACTGCATAAATAATTAAGAATTTCATCACAAAAAATTTCTAAACACGATCTTCACTTCCGTGTTCTACAATGCGGATATCCGGTGGATAAAAACCGAAGTCTTAGCAAGCCATTTTAGGTGATGTTATGCTTGCAGACAGTCATTCAAGGGAAGATACTTTCAAACGTTTACAAACTATGCGGCTTTCTGCATTAGAAAATGTATTAGTCTATGTAATTGGAGGTGTTTATACTCTTCACTGGTTGACGAATCATTGCTATTGTTTGCAGAAGCACAATATAAATAAAAACAATAAAAGTGTATTATCAGAATCCGTCATAAATAACAGTCAACAGGCAGACGGGAAGAACGATCCATTTTATAGTGAAATATTCGAGAACAGGGCTACATATTTTCCTGAATGGATTAATAGTGAATATGAACTTTTAATTTCAGAACCACTGGTAGAGGATTCACCTATTGATATATTTAAGACTAACGTTTCTTCTATTACCGGACTTAACCTCAAGAGAGATGTCCGCGAACGGGGTTTAACTCATGAAGAAGAGATGAAGCTTCTTTTTCTTCATAATTTATATCGGGGAAATGTAACACCACCTGCTGCTAACATGGCCTTCATGGTAAGTTGTTAAAAATGCCTATTTTCTCGATACATATCAAGTTTAATTAAAAACTGTGAATTCTGAGGCGAACATTCACGTTTCCTGATAATTTTGGTTTTCCGCGGCGATGAGGATTTATGTACTCCAAAACAGTGGTCGCTTTCACAATAGATCATCTTTGAAGGGAGGTCACAAAGTGAGGGTGCACTGTTACATACATACATAAATTATATTTTATCTTTACATTATTAAATTGTAGCAGTTTTTCTTTACGAAGATATTCATTTTAATAATAAAAATCAAGCTGACAAATAACCTTTGACTTGTATAGAGAAATTCAAGTGCCTAAACTATGAGTGAAATTATAATTTTTATGAATACCTTAAAATTATAAAGTCAATTATTTGAAAAAGAAATGATGAACAATATTATTTAAGAAAAAATAAACTCATTGTTTTCTCTGAAAACGATGAAGATATCGGGATATCGATAATTCTCAAATAAACAGTAAAGAGATTAAAAGCAAAGAATAAGATTTTTGGCAATCTTACCATTACAATTTTAATTACTAAAAATATAATTTTTTAAAGAAAGTACCCCAGATTCCAGCGTATAACGCACACCTATAATTTCAAAATACATTAAAAAATTTTTAGGTATATGTGCCATATAACGCGCACCATTTTCTCTAAGAAGAAACCCGAGAGATACATATGCGATGCTCTTATCTTTTAAAGGCATTCATTTGAAGATTTTTTCCCAAACTGAACTGACAAGCGATAAAGCGGAATAATATGTGTGTGAGGGAGTAAATAACTTTGAAATGGTGGTGGGTGGCATCTAATGCAGGTGTGCACAAGAATGTTATTCTAGGGTTTCTAGAAAACAGGGATATAATTTCGGGTAAGATGAATTTCTGGAATTAGGAATCAGACGTTTTCTCTGAATGAATGCACAATGATTAATATGCTTACGTAAAGGAAATTATTCGATAATTAAAAATTATCCGATAATGAAAATTTTTAAAACAAACAGCATTTAGGTTGCATGTAGAAATCTAATATATGTATGCTCTTCTTTTCCTTATTTTTAAATGCATCATTTTTATATCCGGCGTATAACATGCACACGTAAATTTCTATCTTATTTTTTGTATAAAAAGCACGCCGGAATATACTGTATATAAAACCCGTAACACATTATCGACTTCCAGAATAGATACTTATGCATGTTTAAAGATTTTTGAAAGCTGGTTTCTTAATTTAAATAAATACGCAGAAAAGATGGAAACTCTGTAAAAGAACCACTCACGGTTCTAGATGATTTGGAATATTTTGACCCATTTTACCGTAGAAGTGGTCATCTTCGAAAGGTGATATTCAGTACCGAAGTTTATGTTCTTCAAAATATTGGTTATTTTCAGAAGTGGTAGTCTCAGTGGGTTGACTTTGAACCATACGAAATGTAATCAATATGTAATTCAAAACATTTTATTGAAGTTTTAATTCTAGTTTATGTTTCATGAATGAAATATTGCGCAGTTTATTGAAGGATTTGAGAAAACTGACACATAGCAAATAATCAAATCAGAATCATAACTGCTTTACGTGCATCCTCAGTGATACCGGCATTTGGCTTCACTGAAAAAGCCAAAGTGCTATGAGAAAGAGGTCTTTTCTTAATTTAAATGCCTGCCCCCGGTACGTTATATCTGGATTTATGTCCTTTTAATATCTTGAGCTCATTTCAAAATGCATCTTCTTACAGACATCGCAAAAAATATTCTAGGCCGTAAATCTACGGACTTGCCGGTCACAGGTTTAAGAAACTAAGCACGGTTTCACACAGTTTGGGTCTTGTAGGGAAGTGGTCTTCTTAGAGAGGTGATGATCAGCATTTTTGCATACTTATGTTCTTAGAAATATTGCTTGTTTCTAGACCTGATTTCCCTACAGGTATTTTCCCATGATTTCGCAGTACAGTGAAACGTGTATAGAGGTTTCAGTGTGAATTTTTTTTTTTTTTTTTTTTTTTTTTTTAAGAACGCACTCATATTTCAAATGACTCAGCTTCTGTGTTGGATCTTCATAGGCAGTGGTTACCTTATAAAAGTGAAATGCTTGATACCTATTTTTATTTAATTAGAGGAGATACTGATAACTTTCTTAACTAAGTGCCATGAGATGTTTCATTGCAGATGTATATATAACCCTTTTAATGAAACTTCAGTTGTTCTCGGCAGATTTAGTTTTTAGAATTTTAAGTGTATTTTTAATTAAATACTTTGTTAGTTTTCTAAACGACACTTTGTTTACTCTCGGCAGCTTTTTGTTGAGTATTTATAGCGTATTATATATTTTTTAAATAAAATCTTCTTTAGTTCTCGCCAGCGTTTTATGGGTATTTTTTAAAAGCTCTTTAATTAAAACTGCGTTTGTTTTCTGCAGTCTTTTGTTTTGAGTATTTTTCTGTGTATTTTTGGGCAATTATTTTGATTCGAAAAAAAGCCAATTTAATACGCTTTTGAGTCGCCCTTATTTTAGGCTTTAAATGCTGACCAAATAAAAGATTTTCATTCTGAAAAATGTTTCTTTCATCTTTCAGGGTTTCCCTTTGATGTATGTGATTTTAATAGGTTCGTTTGGCCTACTTAATTCTTTATATTATGAATTAATTGAAATCGTATTTGATATACAAATCAAAGCTTTAATATTCTGGATACAAAAATTCTAGTCAGTAAACTATCTATTGGGTTTTTGTAAGTTAAAATACAAAATTCAGCGTACCTTAATGTGCAAAATTTAAAGAAATATGTGTAATTAACATTTTTGTGATTTTATCTAGAAATTCAGAAACGTGCTATATTATGTATGTGTAAACGTATGCAATAAGGAACTATTACTCATCCAAATCATCAGATTTTGCCTTTTAATTTTCCCTAATCTTAATCCCCAGTCGTCCTTTAAAAAGAGGGAGTATATAAGGTATTTTCTGACTTTCTCTCTGAAGGGTGAGGCAAATTTGAAAAAGAAAGCATCCCATTCAAGGGAATGTAAGGGTTGTCTGTCGCTAACATCCAGATCATTTAAGATTATTAAATCAATAGACCAGAAATAACGAATGCTGCCTCGTAACTAACAGTTCTGTAACCCCAAATAATGTGGAGGAAAAATCTTCTTCTAACCTTTCTAAGAAGCTTATTTTTTTTGCCTGAAAGAACTCCCACAGACTCTTGAGGCATAGAAATGAGTGGTACAATCGCTTGATTAAAATCAATTTGAGAACATCACTTTTTACCCCATAAGTGTTCTTTGAAATTTCCAGCAAGCCTATAAGAACTTGTTCACTTTTACTGGAGATATAAGAAATATATTATTTTCCACTGCAATTTATTATCCACAATAATTCCTAAATATTTAATCCACTGAATTTCTTCAATAGACTCATTCTCGAAGGTTAAATCAATCTTATACGACGACGCTGAGTTTTTGTGTATTATCATAACTTTCTACTTTGATGGGTTAATTCAAGCTTGTAGTGCTTCAAACCAATTAAAAATATTCTGAGAATCAGTACTGATGTTATTTATGTTCTTACATTATATAACAAGTAAATCATCTGCAAAAGCGATTTGGTGACTGTTCTGGGAGTTTCTCAAATTAAAGCCAATCATTCATAAAAAGATTCCAAATAAAAGGACCAGAAACGGAACCCTGAGGACATCCTTTCCCCAAATTAAATTTTTTTATCATATTACACAAAGTAATTTCAGTAGAACGAAACTACAAGAAACTCTTCATTAAATAAAATATATTCTTAGGGATTCTGAGAAGCCTAAGCAAATGCAGAACACCAGGCCACTATGCATTATCGAATGCACCTCTAATATCCAAGAAAATAAGGAAGCTGATGTAGTTCCCACGATTATCCTGGGCAACAATAATACATAATCGAAGCAAGGGATCATCAGCAGACCTTTGAGGAGTAAATCCTAACTGATCCTCACTCAAAAGACAAGAACGACAGAGATGATAGCCAAGTCTATTTGCACATCGTTTCTCAAGACACCTGCCTATGCATGCAAGTAATCGAAGGAAAGCACCATCAGCAGACCTTGGAGGAGTAAATCCAAAGTGATCCTCACTCAAAAGACCAGAACGACCGAGATGATATTATAAGAATATTTACACATAGTTTCTCAAGACACTTGGCTGTGCACGCAAGTAATCGAAGCAAAGCATCAGCAGCAGACCTTTCAGGAGTAAATCCAAAGTGATCCTCACTCAAAAGACCAGAACGACGGAAATGATAGTTAAGTATATTTACACATAGTTTCTCAAGACACTTGCCTGTACATGGAAGTAAACTAATACAACGAATGTTATCAAATAGTTGTGTTTTTTAATATTGGATTAAAAATTTGCATATGCTTATGTTTTCAAATATTGGATTATCAGCTGGGAAAGCTTTGTTCAAAATAATTTTGTGAATTCGTCTGTTTTCTCACAATCTCTCAATTTGTTTCTGATGCTATAATTTTGTGAGTTTTTTGCACTGTCTACTTCGGTCTGCAGGGGTTGGACTGGTAAAGACACAGATTACTTTTATTGTTTTTAAGACTATTTTTACATTTTAAACTTTAATTTGTGTCTGAGTAAGTTCATTTACTTATTTACTTCCTTTATTGCACCAACCCCCGATGACGATGCATAGAAAGATGTAAATTTCTTATTTCATTTTTAGTTTAGGTATATTTCGCCATCCCCATTTCTTGCAGTTTGCCACTGTGCATTTTTTTTTTGTTTTGTTTGTTTGTTTCCGAATTGAATAAATGATAAATTTTAAATGTATTTTTTATTTTATTTTGCATTTTTATGGCATTTTTGATAGGAGTATTCTCATTTCATTCATTTGATTATTTATATGAATAATATATATGTATGTGTGTGTGTATATTTGTTAAGCAATCGAATATTTTATACTTTCATTTGCAAGATATTTTGACCTCCTTTTTTGTTTTATTAAACGAAGTATTTCTTAACTGAAATATGCGTTTAAAATGTCGAGAATTTTCGAAAGAGGGCCTCAAATATCGAGAAGTAAGTAAATTACTTCTATTCAGGATTTTCCCAAAATCTTGAGGATTCAGGAGTTTCGGAATCTTGAGAAATCAGAAAATAAAACTTTGCCCCCAAATTCTCCATCTTCATGCTTGACACTTGTATCCCCAATAACAACGACTACCTCTACAGGAGGATAGAATCTGTCTTAGAGACAGGAGGATAGTTGTCTTAGAGAGGGCTAAGTAATATGACTGTGATTTCCTTTGATACTAGATAACAACCTTTTCAAGTTGAAATATTTTTAAGCACATAAATAAGTACCTTTATTGACTACCCCCTTCTCTAAGTCGTTCACATATCTATAAAAGACCGAAAACTTATGGAATCGTGGGCGGTCGTCTTAGCGAGCTTTCATTACAATTTAAACATTGAATTCCTTATTTGGATCTTCTTATTTTATATTGTAACATTGTTCTTTATCTTAAATGACAACAGCAAGATGGATTTACAATAATCAGGAAAGACAAGAATATCGTGTATAACGCAAACGTTTTTCAAAACGTAAGTAGGGTATTATCTCGTGTAATCAAATTACTAAATTACTGCTGACATCTTAAACTATTTTTAAAAAAACTCATGTATACACCACGACTTCCTTGTATGGAATATTAAATTATACTAATTTTTCCTGCATTTCATTTAAATTTATTTCCTCGGATTCCATTAGAGATATATTTCTCATTTAATTAATTGAGTTCTCACTTCATGGCAAGGCAAAAATACATAGAAACTCAAAATATCTTCATTTAAAATTGAAAGATATAGTAAAACATAAAAAAAAAAAAAAAAAAAAAAAAAAAAAAAAAAAAAAAAAAAAAAAAAAAAAAAAAAAAAAAAAAAAAAAAAAAAAAAAAAAAAAAAAAAAAAAAAAAAAAAAAAAAAAAACCCAAATACAGTTAAAATAATTAAAGGAGATTTTTACAATTGAAATTCCAGTTTTTATGCAAAACGAAGCAATTTGCCCATTAGGCATTTTCGGTGCACAAAACTAAAAGTTTCCTTTTGGTACCACTCTGCAAAAAGACACTGAAGGTGCAGAAAGACTTAATTCACTTGTATCCCGTGGGATATTTTAATAGTACAAAAGCAAGTTTTTCCAACGAAATAATCGAAATTGCTTTATTAGGACATATCTTAGAAGTACGATAAATAAAAGTAGATTTCTCTCAATAATGGTGGACTACTTTTTGAATTGGGTGGGAATAATACCTTTAAAAGAAGCTTAGTCAAGAACAGATACAGATTCACTTCTAAATTTTATTTCCACTATTAAAGTACACGGTAAATTTTACTTCCATTATTAAAGTACATATATGTATATATATATTAAAATACTACTAAAAGTAATTTCCAATAACGGTCCACAATTTACTAATAAAATTTTTGAGTCGAATCTTGTCATTAAGCATGTTAAAAATGTTCCTTATAGATTACAGCCGAATAAATAGAAACGTAACCAGTTATCCAGAATTAATTCAAAATATGCTATTTAGGCTGGGATTGTTGTATCGGCTGAATACGACATGATGGGAAAAACTTGCGCAGAATTATTTTTAAAAGACGTATGGCAATACCACTGATTAAAATGTTATTTGTAGCAAAAAGAAAAGAAGTATTTGAAAAAAAATTAAAAAATTGGTATAGGAGATAAGCAGTGATTCGGATAAAGCCAGCGAAAAGGAAAGTTTGACTAATAAAAAATAAAATGGCTAATGATAAAAATAATTAAATTGAAATTAAAATTCAATGAAAATAAAGATATAAATAAAATTTAATAAATTATTAAATTCATGATAAATAGTTAAATAAAAAAAATAAAATATCGGTCCTCATCTTATTTGGAGCTCTGGCTGAACTTAAATTTCATTCAAAAAAGTAAGCAATAGCTTAGGCGTCCTCCTGCTGAATTTAAGCCCGGAATATGCGGTATAAAGTACTATTTCAAGGGATGAGAGAAACAAAAATCATTCTTTTCCCAGCATACCAATAAGAAAAAATAAAACAATTAAAGCCCAGAACAGAGAAAATGATAGAAACAATATGGGAGTATGAGAAGAAATTTTAATGGAGAAATGTAGCTTCGCAAACAAAGGGTCCTAAGCTTTCTGATCGCTATGGCCTGCCCGTATAATTCTACCTCTCAAGCAGAATGCGACTGAACAATTATAAAAAATTTCTCTCAAATCCTATCTGATAACAACATGAGAACAAATCTAAGGTCTGCCCAAATGAAAACTTTTGTGCCTTGTATTTGGTTGCATAGCCTAAGTCTTCAGGAGTTCTGCAGTAAAAGGTTGCTAGCGCTGGAAGTGCACGACCAATGATCATTTTTAGTACTTTCGTGAACAAGATATTTTTAACCGCCCTCATAAATTCACACCACTCCTTCGAGAATAAGAGCCCACCAGCGGCCAAGCGGTAAAGTCGCTGAACACTGTTAGTTCGGTCCGAGGTTCGAATCCCGCGAACGGGCTGGCTGCATGGGTTTTCGTGGTTTTCCCCATGTGTAACGTGTATACGAGCCAGTTTCCCTCAGAAAGTCCTCCACGAAGGCATCCCTCCCCTTAGGCAGATAGCCCTAGTGTGCTTTGCCATAATTAAATACACACACCACCTTCGAGAATAAGCCTTTGAGATGTGGATGGAGGATTTTATTTCCTTAAAATGTTAATACCTCCGTTCGTTTTTCCCAGAGAATTATTCGGAAGTTATAATGGAGTTTTGATGTATATTTATTTTTACAATAAAATTTTACCGCTGAAACTGTGTTCCATTTAGATAAAAAATGGCTCTGGAACCCTTCTATTTAGGGCTCCGGTGCGCTCCAGATAGAATGAGCATTTCCATCAAAGATTGAGAAGTACCGGAGCCGGGCTCCCGTGGGCTCCGGCACAATTTAAGCTCTGATTATTGGTACGTAATGACATGAGTAATTACAAACCTCAGATTTAAAACTTTGTTCAGTGAAAGCATTTATTTGTGGATTTATAAACAAGAAGTATACTACTGTGTGTTTTGGTTGCGATTCATTAATATTTCCCATTTTTATTTATATCTGTGTATATAAATGTTTTAATAACATAAATAATTTTACGTCTCACTAAGTTTCATTTATTGTGAAGACTTGTGTCAAACGTAACAATTTAAAAAATCAGTCCGTTCTTAGTTAATATTTGAATAACAATAATTTTTAAAAACAGACTTTCGTTTGTTATAGCATTTAAGTATTTTCTTGCTTCGAAGGTTGCAAGTAAAATCACATTTTGTTCTTCAGGAATGGGATGAAGAACTTGCAGAACTGGCTCAAAAATGGTCCGACGGATGCACATTTAAACATGGCATGCCGCAGCATAATTACCCGGATTCAGTAGGACAAAATTTGTTCAAAGGCTTTGATCCAACTGGTCAAGATGGAGTATGGCTGTGGTTTGATGAATACCATGATTATGATTTAAGAAAGGGGTTCTGTCTCCCTGATAAAAAGTGTGGCCATTACATACAAGTAAGAAACTTCCCACTTTTACTAGCACTAATGTCAAAACACAGTATTATAAATACATACATGTACACTGCGGAAAAAAGAAAAGGGGGGCAGTTTTATAGCTTCCGTTGTGCTGGGCTGATTGACGAAATTCAAATTGCGTTTTTCCTGTCTCGAAAGCGTGAACTGGTTATGTATTAGATTTATATACAGCATAGTTCTAATATAGGTATTTTGACACAAAATTAGACTTTTCTGAAGTGACATGTCAAATGTTTTTCCATATTTCGATTCTACGTTTCAAATTATGTCAAACTGCTAAGTTTTGTAAAAATCGCACTGATAGTTTTTAAAAAAGTCGCTCCCAAAATTTTAGCTCCTCAATGAATTAACGTTAATTAAGTTTGATATATATTTATTAACCTCTCTTTTTTTTATTAAACTTGATTCCTTTTTCCAGAATTCGAAATTTACTCTTAATCGAAATATAATGTGCACGTTTTTTATGATTTATTTAAAAAATTTTTATTTTTAAAATATTTTTAAAAATTTTTCGAAAAAAATTTTGCATTATAACCTATAAAATGTTTAACATCATCTTCAGAAAATACATCTCAAAGTAGATGTATTTCTAGGCACACCTGTGAAAAATTAGAGTTTTTTATTCAAAATTTTTTAAGATATACATGAATTTACATATTGGCGCATTTTGAAATTTGGCATATTCGTTGAAAGCGATAATAACATCAAATATGTTTTACGTACTTTGTTAAAATTATTTGAAAGTAGGAAAGATGCAACTTTTTTCCCGCTCATGCACAATGTAAAAAGGGAAAGGAAAATAGGTTTTCCATAAATTAAAAAGTTCGCCGAGTGAATTTTTCTTGGCGCAAACTGAAAAAAAATGCGCCAAGATAAATTTTTGAATTTGTAAATTTCGCACCATATTTTACAAAATTTAATATTCAGGCATACTTTGAATCGTAGAATCGAAATATGGAAAAGAAATTGGCATCTCATTTCAGAAAAAGTCCGATTTCGCGTCAAAATATCTATATTAGTACAATGCTGTATATATAAATATAATATATATCCTAAGTCACGCTTCCGAGACATGAAAAACGCAATTTGAATTTCGTCAATTGGCGCAATAGAACTTGAGATATAAAACTGTCCTAATTCCTCCAGTGTATAAATCTGTATGGAGGTGGAAGTAATGTGAAAAGTAAAATTAACCTCTTAATAATTGCATACTTTTCAAGAAAACAGTAAAAATAATGTCGATTTTTTATTCAAAAACATTGTTTAAAAATAAACGTATGAACAATATGTGAATTCATCTTTAATTTTGGCATTTGCTTTTTTAGTTTGAAACAAAAAAAAAAAAAAAAAAAAAAAAAAAAAAAAAATTAAATTTTCAGGGGGGGGGGGCTACTGCTCCGCGTTCAACTTAAATTTAATTGTTCTATTTAGTTGCATCGCCTAGAGCTATGGCTGATATTGTAGCACAAGACAGTGCCTTTGTGTTCTAAATTCCGTTTAAATAAAAAGGTTATTTTAACCTTCTTACCATTTTATAGTTGCATCAGACATAGCTATAATTCACTTCACGTGTGTTAGAGTTATTGGACCAATTAACATCACTATATCAAGTAAACCTGACGCTCCTTTTTAGACGATCTCTGCTAAAAGTGACTAGTATTTCTAGAAATATAATTCAATAACTGCAAATGTATATCCGCAGTAAGATTGTAACTTATCATGTGTATGATTATATTATCCTTCAATTAAGTTTCGGTGTTATCACACAATCAAGAGTTTTAAAACATTTATAATTTTTTTTTGTCTTGCAAAAATTTTGTATAATATTGCACAATATTTTTTGACGGATCTTATATAAATATAAAAGATAAATTATAATCGAAAATTTATTTTTATTATTTGACGGATAAAGGTAAACCTAGTATAGAGACATTAGGTTATTTTGAAGTAGCAGACATGAAAAATGAGGAGTGCCCTCGCCGGGACTCGAATCTGGACCTCTCGAATACGCGTCGCGTGTGCTAATCGTTACACCACGAAAGCAGGCAGAAAGGATGGAGAAAATATCTAATACTAGTATGTTAAAAATATCGTGAAAAGAAAGAGAAAGGAATGAGTCTTTACTTGAAACATTTCTAATTGAAACATTTTCAAAAATTATACCTATTTACGAGATGAAATAAAATAGTTCCCAGACAAGAATTAGGAAAACGATATCTGATAAAGATTTAAATTTGGCCAATTTCTTTTTCAAGGAAATGTCTTTTTACCGCTTCTATCACTGCTAACACTTCTGTTGTTTTCCTGATGCCCTTTGTGAGGTGTGTTTTTTTTACTTTTCGTTCTGTTTTCTTCTCTGATGCCCTTGTACAGTCATTAGGTAATTATGAAGCAAGAAACGTGAAAAACGAACAATGCCTTCGCCAGGACTCGAACCTGGACCTCTCGAATACGCGTCGAGTGTGCTAATGCTAACTGTTACACCCCGAAGGCGTGCTGGAAGGAAAAAGAAAATATCTTATACTCTTTTTGTTCCTGATGCCTTTTAGCATGCCGAGACTCTTTGCAAATGAAAATTAATTTCTTATAAAATATCAAAATGCCAACTTTTCGGTTTCGATTTTTCAGCTTGGGTTCTAAAAAGAAGTCACACGAGTCAGATTCGGATATATATTGAGAATTAGCAACGATTTCAGTAAAGCCTAAAATTTCTTGCCATTGCTCCTGATACTTTCTGGGACTTTAAAACGCTCGCAGTGAAATTTGTTCTAATTTATTAAAAAACACCGACATTTCAGAAGTCACTCGAAATCAAATCTGGTAAATAATGGGCTGAGGAACGATCATCGTAATGGTGTGGTCTAAAAATACGCGAACATTTGAAATGTTGTAAAATGTTTGATTACAGTGTTATAGTAATTACTCTTTCGCGTCTTTTAAGTGTTTCATATGGAATGTTCTTTGTCATGAGCCTTAGAACAGTGGTCTCAAACTCGCTGTTTCTGCAGCAATTTTATACAGCCCTTGAATGCATTCCAATCATGTATTTGTTGCGAATACGGTGCTTTAGTTTTAGAGACGTAAAGATATGGACTGAGCTTATGTGCGCAAATGCTGCTGAAGGAAAACACAATGAATAGGCTAGGGCTTTGTCAATTTATGCTTGAACGTCAGACCACGTGGCCACCCGATGACATTGTTTTCTCTGTGATGTTTTCATCTTTGATAATTTTATCGTGAAATATAAACTTTTAGACATAGGATGAGATAAATGCCAGACGAAGAATTTTTTGTCTTTCCAAGACAAGAAGCGTCTATGTCATCCTTTGATACGGTACTAGCTCTAAGCGAACAGAGAAAATATTTCTTATTTTAATTATTTTTTTAACTTCTCGCGTTTCAGTAGGCCGAGAGGCTGACGGCCAACCGTATGGTCCAACTGTTAATCTGGCACTATGTCTGAAATTAATTTAGATTAACTTTTTCCAACCGAAGCATTTATGTAGTTTTAATGACCTATAACCTGGTCGCATATTCTTCATTTCGGAAAAAAACGATAATTTCAGCTGTAATAATTAATTTTACATGAGTGTCTCAAGAAGAAAATGGCCCAGTGTATGAGATATCCTCCTGCAAAAAATCAGTTCGTTGTTTATGCTACCGAGCCGAATTACTCAGTATTTGATTTGAGACTATATCTACTTGATCGGACATCCCCCACCTCTCTCTTGAAAAACGTCATCGATTGTAAAAAAAAATATACTTTTAAAATTAACGTCTTGCAATAGGTGTTCTGTCAAAGAAACTGACATTTTCCAGAATCTAATACACAGCACTCCTGACTATTTTAGCCGCACAATCATTTATAGCTTCCAGTAGTCTCAGTATTGCAGAATCTGTTTTCTATTACTTCCTTACTCAGCTACTAATTCAAATTTTCTTTTAGATGGCTTGGGCCGAAAGTTCGAAATTAGGATGTGGTATGAAGAAATGTGGCATTCAGTACCTTGTCACTTGCCATTACAGTCCCAGGTATAAGTAAGATTCTTCTTTCGAGCTCTTTTTAATCTCATATTCTAAGAATATTTCAATGACTGCAGGAAACGTAAATTACAGTAAAACTGAGTTGAGGACTAATTCTGGTTTTAAAGAAAAATTGAGTTTTCTTCCCCTCAAAACTAACTTCAACTCACCAATTTCAAATTGTCTCGTTCTCTTAATACATATTAGAGTAATGCACTTTAAAAAATATTCACAAAATGTTTTTGTTGATCATTATACATATCTAAGGTGCTCTTCACACTGTAAGGTTTATCTTAAGTTTTTAACAGTTATTTTCAAGTTTGTCACAATTTCCTATCTCTCCTAATTTCAGCTTACAATTCCTTACCAGAATGAGTTTTTAGAATCGCGTTCAATGCAAATGAGAAGGAGTAGTATTTAAGTCGAAGTTCCACTGACTTCGGTAGAGAGATTTAGATTCCCTGGATAGCTTGCGTTTACCTTTCGGCTACGTCTCTCTAAGCTGTTACTACGCTCGGCCGTCTTACGTGTTCTTGATAGCTTCGCTAGCTAATTTAATATTAGGGGCCAAATAGCTAGAAATTGTGTTAGCGTCGGCTAAACCTCTTTAGTTAGCCATTAGTTAAGTTCTTATTTCTTATATTTTTTAGTTTAAGCCCAAGTGGAGGCTTTGTTGTACGTCCTGAAAAGGGAGCGTCTGTACACTTTTAGTTTGAGCAATAAAGGGTCATTAATTCTTCTTGAGTTTTACGTTTACTCAAGCGATTATTCACCTAGTAGTTCACTAGGTTCCTCCACGCTTAGTTAATAGTAAAAGAGAGAATCACTACAATACTATGCCCTATTAATAAACACAGTGAACCCTCTCTTGGCATTAGTTAAGAAATAAAAGGGAGAATCACTATAATACTATGCACTATTAATAAACACAGTGATTTCTCTCTCGGCATTAGTTAATAGATAAAAGGGAGGATCACAACAATACTATGCACTATTAACAAACACAATGAACCCTCTCTCGACAAGCGTCTCCTGTAGATGATTACCTTTGCCGTCCAGACGGTGTAATGGTTAGGGAAGCCTGACACCCCGGGTTCGAATCCCGGAGAAGGCATGGATATGAAATTGTCTGTTCCTTCAAAGGAAGGTAGCGATGGCCGCCTGTAAGGTGCCTCCATAATAAAATAGCACCACTTATAGCCTTAGGAGTGGCCAATGTCGTTATAGGCGAGTGCCCGCCATTGGGGAAGGGGGAATGACTAACTATGAAGATGCTAGCATTTCTGAGAACATAAAGATCACATCATCGCTGCTATATTTACTAAGCATAACGTATTTAAGGTGGGATCCTTCATACAGGGCAGAACAGGAAGAAGCGGGGAGTACACTAGAACATCATCAATGGTTTTATGCCACCGTACTGTATAGCTCCAACCAGAGCATTCACGGGACGAATGTTAAAGTCCACCATTCTTCTTTCCTACTACAAAGTCTCCTTAGAGGACTTTCGACTCCCAAATATTTTCAATGGCTCCATGCTGCATAGGCACCATTCATTTACAAATATCCAAGTCTTCCCAGGAATTTAAATCCAGGCCCTATGATACGGAAACAAGCATCTGTAACCACTGTATAGATCAGAGCGATGCACCCATATACGAGACCCAAACAGTATAAAAACGTAGGTGGTCTTCTTAGAAACAGTTTTTCATCATTATTTTTGTCAAGTCTGTATGTATTTTTATAATTGTAATATGTTTTTAAATAAGTTAATGTAATCATTCAATCAGTGTTAAACTTTCAAGTTTTATTTTATATTTAATATTAATTTTATATTTAATACTATAAAAAATACTTTTTATAATATTTTATAATACTATTAATATTTTTTATAGTGTATAAAAAATCAATAGTCCACCAAGTAAATGAATGAGGACGTTAATAAAAATCGAACTTGAACATAAACTTTCTAAGAATTCCACGCAAAATCAAGGTAATCTGTAACCGCAGGCCGTCATCTTAAACAGGGTTCATTGTAATTTCTAATTCTAATATAAAGTGAATTATGATACAACACGACTCTCCCATGGCTGAAAATTATTTTACTCTTCTATGGCAGCGATCATTATGTCCATTTGAGGATTACTATTAACTCTGCAGGCTTTCATCTCAATGAAGTGGTCTTCATGAGAGGATTTATTAGAATGGCTGTGAAGTCTAATCCTCAGTTTTTTTCGTAATTGACTTTAAATTATCAGATGGGTTTTCCGACGTCACAGAAGTCAAACACTCAAAGATAAGGAAATAATCTAAGAGTGTAATTATTAGCTTATCTTTGAGTATTACAGAACTTAAAAGATAAACAAATACACTACCAGAAACTTAACAAGAATTAAAGCATTAATTAATAACTATAGCATGCATTTACACAGTCTGAAAATTTTAGGTTCTTGGCTCCGATATGTAAGAAAACCTCACATATAAAATGGCATTGTATTTTAAAGCTACTTTGCAAAATTTACGTGTCAGAAAACTATTTTTTTTAATAAAAACAGGCTTGCATGATAGATTGTCTTTCATTGATGAGTCTGAAAGTAAATAGATAAAGTAAAAAACCCTGTGTCAACCACGTCCGTAAAACGATAACCTTTGAAATTTCTGTAAGTAAATATTGCTTTTGAACATTGCTTAAGACAGCCATTCCCACTGAAGATAAAAGTCACCTGGAATCGTAGGTGGCCCTCTTAGGTAGACTCACTGTATCAGTTTTGATATAAAGGTATAATAACTAAAAAGCGTAAAAATTCATCCATTATCCTTTTTATATTTTTAATTGCAAGAGTTCAGTGTTCATTTTTAAATCTGTTGCTTTGGAAAAGAAACGGGTGACAAATTAGATTTTTTTCAAATTCAGTGAATCCTCTGAAACCAACCACTTCTGAAAGCCACCATTACTTTGAAATCAAACATGATGGCCACTTCAACAGAGATCCACTGACCCTGTGTCATACTGCTCTGACTGGGTGGCCTCAAATTTCATGGCGTACACCACAGTGCTTTTTAAATCCTTGACATCGCCATTCGTAGATTCAGGATATGTATTTCAGGATCTCGGATGCCATTGATGAAGTACTGTAGAGAGAGGATTTACCTTGTTTCTGTCAGGTATTCCGAAAAGGCGAGATGAGACAGCCTTTCAACATCTGAAGCGAGCTCCTGGGGCTTCTCTTGAAGGGATTTTAATTGGAACCTGCTGCAGTCTTTTAAACATTTCTTCCCGAAGCGCAGCTCCAAACGCGCTGGATAGCCTTCGGTTTTCTGAAAGAGTCTGAAGGATATCCGCTGCATCAGGTCTTAGAGAAGCGACAAGATGACAGGCCTTAGCTTCGGAATTCCATGCGTTCGCATCCCCAATACAAAAAATTGTTTCTTATACACTTGCCAGGAGGTCTTCCATCATATGTGGATAGCTTCACAGAGAGACGAGCAGGCATGGGTAAAAATTTAAAGCCATAAGAGTTGCTCCCTGTCGTCGCTGCGAATTTCTGTAAGGTATCAACTTCTTTAGAAGAAAGCCTGTCATCAATCTTTTGTTCCACGTCAGAAACTTTCTTCTGTTTGCTCTTTGACAGAAGAAACTTTTTCTTCAATTCGTCCAACTTCATTTTCAACCTCGTCTATTCTGCCTTCCAAAGCCTCAAATTTGTTTTCTATTATGCAGGTAATTTCTCTTTTCATTTCCTCTTGACTGCTTCAGTCTTTTTTGACCTGCTGCGATCGTTTCTTGACCAGCTTCCATCTTTTCTAGGAATGCAGGAAAGGCAGTCACAAGCTGTCTTAGTTGAGCTAATTTGTCTTAGCTTATATAAGTCTGAAAGAGCATAATATTAATGCAGACTCATATCTTCAAATTGTGTCTGCATTGCAATTTGAATTGGATTCCAGATTTGATGACTAGATTTGACGAATTTAGATCCTATTTTAAAATTCTTTATAAATCCCTTTAATATTACCGATGGAGAAAAGACAGCTACAGTAATTTTTAACTGTTTCCACCTTAGCAGTATGGAAAACTTCGAATTAGAAACAGTTGTAAGGATCTTAAGTTTTACTAACGTTTATTTTATTTTAAATCTTTACTATCACTTCTTATTTTCTACTTCCGGCCAGAATTATAAGCGTGAAGGAGTTTATGCAAAGTTGTCTGGCGAACGCCAAGTATTTAAGTGTGGCCTTTTTGCCAAGCAGAAGAGAGGAAGCCGTGAGTTCGAAGCAGGCCGCTTACCTTAGAAGTTACGCAGTTGCTACTTTGCCTTCCAGGCCAGAGGTTTTAATCCTCTTGATAAATTTAAACGTATTGTAGTGTTCACAGTCTCTGTGCTACATACGCTTTTCTGTTATTATAAGGCCAATCTTATTCTAAAGTTAAATTAGAGTTTAGTTTTTATTTTGATATCTTTTACGTTAGACCCCGAGTGGAGGGTCATTGTATTCCGAAGTACGGAAGTCATTGTATATAAAGAAAAAAAATAAAGGGTTTTTGTATACCCTTCGTCTGTATCCTGTCTACTTACTACAATTAGTGAACATAGCTTTAGTAAGCTCTCTGTTCCTAGTCAGGTCATTGTATGTTTCCGAAGAAGGTTAGAAGGAACATTGAACCTGATAGTGGCGCCCGACGAAGAATAACCATGGCCGAATTTCAAGAAGAACCTGTGCTGCCTGCAGAAACGGCTCAGAATCCAGAAATGCCAGCTGCCGCCCTGGAAGGATTTGGGTACATCGTCCAGACCATGCGCGCTTCGATGAAACCAGAAGCAACGTTTAATGGAAACTCACCGGTAACCAGTTTTTTTGGAAAAATTGGATGACCACTTCATGCTCTACCCCGTGCACGAGTTTCAAAAAGTTACCTTAGCTACCAGCGCTTTGAGGGGCCAAGCGCTTAACTGGTTCAAATGTATAGGCAGAAGTCTCTTGGGTCAAGCAGGAAGTCCCACCTATACTTACGAAAA